AAGCCCTGGGCAGCTCAGTGCTCGCAGAAATCGGCAGGGCAGTGGCGTGTGATCCCCACATGCCTTACCTCTGTTTGGGGGGGCAATGCTTCCCGCAAACTACACCCATGTGTGCAGTTGACCGGTCAGTTTGTAACTCTGGTGTTTGTATCGCCACGGTTCTACTGTATCTGATGAGTGTAATGGTAAATACAGAAGGCATGATTCACCACTGCGTTAAGACAATTTTACACCAATGTAATTCTATTGGTTTCAGGGACAGGTGTAAAACTGGAGTGATGTAGTTGTGAATCTGGGCCAGGTTTCTCTTTGGTTTCTCGTCACTGGGAGCTTCCAATATGGTGGTTAGTTAAAGGGTACGTTAGCTTATGAAAATCTTACCAAAACTTAACAATAAGCTGGTTATCAGTAAATCTATTTATTTATAACTCCATGTTCCTCTCTTCCAGAATTTCTTTGATTTATCCTACTCTTCCTTTTTAGCGTCCCTTCCTTCTGGGCCATTCCTTCTACTAAAATAATGCAGGGCCAGGTCTTGAAGTCTTTGCTCAGTTTTCCAGCAAAGCTGCCATTGATTTCAACAGGTCAAATGCTGAGGAGAGCTAAGCAATGGAACTGCTGCTCATCGATTCCAAGGCCTGTTTGGGACCATTGTGATCATCTCAGCTGACCTATGGCATGCCATGGTATTCACCAAAGTAATTCCTAGAGCAGATCTTTTAAAAAAACTTCCAATCTTGATTTAAAAATTGCCAGTAATAGAGAATCCACCATGACCCATGGTCAATTACTCTCATGTTAAGAATTTATGCCTTATTTCCTGTATGAGTTTTGTCTAGTTTCAACTTCCAGCCATTGGATCATGTTAGACCTTTCTCTGCTAGATTGAAGAGCCCATTATTAAATATTGGTTCCCCATTTAGATATGTATAGACTACGCAATCAAATCATCCCTTACCCTTGTCTTTGTTAAACTAAATGGATTAAGCTCTTGACTCTATCACTACATGGTACCTTTTATGATCCTTTAATCATTCTCATGGCTCTTCCGTTAACTCGTTCTATTATTTCAACATCCTTCCTGAATTGTAAGCACCAGAACTGGACACAGTATTCGAGCAGCGGTCGCACCAATCCCAACTGGATAGGCACTTTTCTCCTATTCAAGAGTCCCCTGTTTAGTATCTCAGGATCAAATTAGCTCTTTTCGCCAGTGTCACAATGGGAGCTCAAATTCAGCTGATTATCAAGTCGTCATGCGCCCGCCACCCCAACACCAAATCTTTTTCAGAGTCTGCTTCCCACAATAGAGTCCTGTTTGGCCTACACTCTTTGTTCCCACACCCATACATTTGCATTTAGCCATATTAAAAGGTATATTGTTTGCCTGCAGCCAGTCTACCAAGCGATCCTGATTGCTCTGAATCAGTGACCTGTCCTCTTCATTCTTTGCCACTCCCAATTTTTGTCATCTGCAAACATTATCAGTGATGATTTTGTTTTCTTCCAGGTCATTGATAAAAATGTTAAATAGCATAAGGCAGAGAATCGATCCTTGCGGGACCCCAGTGGAAACACACCTGTTCGATGACAATACCCCATTTACAATTACGTTTTGAGACCTATCAGTTAGCCAGTTTTTAATCCATTTAATGTGTGCCATGACAATTTTATATTCTAGTTTTTTAATCAAAATGTCATGCGGTACTAAGTCAAACGCCTTACAGAAGTCTAAGTATAGTACGTCAACAGAGACATTAAAGTCGTTGGAAGCTGTGGTGCCTGGCACTTCTCATTCTTTGGCCCAATGAGAGTGATGACCAAGTTAAACATTTAAGTAGAGGCTTTGGGGACCAGCTAATAGACATGATGGTTGTTTGCTATCATGCCTCAATACAGTGTTGGTAATTCTCACACAGGGGAAATAAATATCCTGCTTCATCCTCTCCAATGACTAGTCAATCTCTAATGATAATTTTGTATGGTTATAGAAATTCTAGTAACAAAGCTGTAGCGGGTAGATGCTATTGGAGCTATGCGAACCCTGGGCCAGATCCTCAGCTGCAGTCATTTACACCAGCTGAGGATCTAGCCCAGTGGGTCTCAAACTTTTGTATTGGTGACCCCTTTCACACAGCAAGCCTTTTCATGCGACCCCCCTCCCCCTATACATTAAACACTTTTAAAAATATTTAACACTATTATAAATGCTGGAGATGAAGTGGGATTCGGGGTGGACCCCCCACGCAATAACCTCACGACCCTCTGAGGGGTCACGGCCCCCCGGTTTGAGAACCCCTGATCTAGCCCATAGTATTTGTTCCTGCCAGCCATGTTCTTTGACTGAGAACAGTGTTCACGGATAGTAGGTTAGCAGCTTTAAACCAGTGATGAAGAGGAAGAGAGAGGAGGGACAAAGGGGACGTAATGGAGGGAAGGACTTTCTCTCTGCTCTGGGGTTTTGGTAGCTTAAAGCTAAAATAGTGCCGATCCAAAGCAGAAATCTTAAACCAAAATGCCAGATCCTCAGCTGGTTAAAAACCAGCACTGAAGTCAGTGGAACCATGTTTATTTCACACCAGGTGAGGATCTGGCCCTAGAACACTGGGACTAAAACAAAATCCATTATGTTTTACGTTAGCCTAAAACTAAGGCCCAAATTGTGCAAAACTCTCCTCTACTGCCATGGTGGTTTTGCTCCGATAAGGGCCTCAGATTTTTGCCCTGAGTTTGGTGTCTTTTGTGTTTATTTTTCATATCCTGTTAGAATGTTACTTCTCCTTTACCCTGCACTTCTCTTTAATCCTCATTCCCGTTTTCTCCTGCTTCTGCCACTGCTCAGCAACATTCCCCAGTTTTGAAGCTAAGAAAGCATCAACGTTTATTTTCTCTTATGCTGATGCTAAATGAGCGACTGTGTTCCTTTATTCCTTCTGAACAAGTTATCAAGAAAAACTGGGCAGTGGTGCCGAACCCCTTTGAGATCTTGTCCGAGGGCATAGTTTATGCAATCAGAATCCCTAACACCTCATTTAAACCATCAGTCCCCAGCTTTGTAGCTGCAGCAGAATCAATATGCCATTAGCGGCTGTAGTGTCTCTGTGGAGTTTTATTCAAGAAGTGGTGCGGGGTTTTATCTTGTAAACATATTGGTGGGAGTGTGAGCACCACCTCCCTCTGCTGGATGGAATCAGACCTGCTTCCATTTGAATGGTCTTGCCTCCTAAAGAGGCTATAAATAGCTTTATGCAGATCTTCAGTAATATAACATTCCAGTAAACCTGGACTGAGTTTTAGGCACACATAGTCGCTCCCCATCGCTGCCAGGAAAGGAGATATGGTTTCAACTCAATACTGCATGCGCTGGCTTAGTTTCACCTTGAGTTCTGGGGTTTGTTGATCCACCGGGTCAAAAGAAATTAGAGGGCATGCAAACTACAAGGCACAAACAAAGCTTTGCCAAACCCCTTCTTTCCCCAAACTGCTGAGTGTCTCTGAGCTCTAAATGAAAGTTTGGATCCTAGTGTTAGACCACAGAGAATATACTCATTTAGCACAAGTAGCAATGATTTGTAGCTGTCTGTCAGGAGTTGTAGTCTCCTTACTGCATATATAGCTGGAGACCCTGACATCTGTGAACAAGTCCAGTCCTGGATTGTTACAAGCTGCAAGACCGAGTAACCTCTACTCACCCACCAACCGGCAGCTGGGTTACCTTCAGCTGCTCTTTGTATCTAGTGTCCTCATTCTTACATTCAGATATTTGTAGTCAGATTGGAGTCCTATTATGCTGGCTGTCTATAGACCTGATTTAACACAATCCCAGCCCCAGAGGCCAGACAGTCTGTACAACGCCAAGACATGCCATATATGTGTAGAACACGCTGGTGGGGCAGGGGGCAGGGGGCAACAAGGATGGCAGTAATAGGACTACAGGGCTGCATGTGCTAGCTAACCTGGACACTTTAGCGGCATCATAGTTGGTTTGGATTTTTTTAACCTAAATCTATAAACCCCTTGAAAATGTTTCTCGTGCGGGATCTGGTTGAAAGCCCCTAGAAGTCATTGAGCCATTTTCCATTGATTTCAGTGGGCTTTGGTTCAAACTTTAGCTCACCCATGTGGTTCTTCTCTGGCATTGGTTAAGCCTGGGAACGTTCTCAAAGGTTTGGTGAGACGTGGAGGAGTCGGGACAAACAGCATGCTGAAGGAAGAATCTGATGGAGTATGTCTGAGATTTCCTTTTATTCCCCAAGGGGGAACTTCACCCTTGTGCCGGTGGCAAAGACCAAGCCTGTGTGTCACATCATCCCTCTTTAGGCATGTGGGGTGTGGTTCTTTCACCCAAAGGACTCTGTGTTCTTCCATGCATGTGTTCCAAGCAATGGCTTTTTCATTGATTTTGCTTCAGTCCAAACACCACAGCAAGCCAGTGTGAAGGACCCTTGTGTCTACAGGTAATGACACGTTTAAATGAAAAACAGTCTGCTAGATCCAAAGCTGATTGAAGTCAATGACAAGGCTCCCATTGTCCACAGTGGGCTGGAACTGTGCCTCTGATAAGGTTCCTGTATGTATGTGGTTACCTTGTGCTGTACGTAATCCCCACACGCGAATGAAAATGGATCCTTCGTAACCATCCTCCCCCTGCTGGCTGTCACTTGACCTGTCTGAATTGGGATGGAGAGTATGCAGCATCCTGAGTTAGGCCTGCAGAACTAGACTTGACTTCTCCACTTCTAACTTAGGCTGCTGTATGAATATTAGGATTTAAATAGTCCAGCTTTGACCTTACGAGCTATTTGGTGTAACCCTTGCTCACACTGGCAAGCCCTTAGAGCCATAAGTAGCCTCGGTCATGCTGCTGATGTGATTGAGTAGTGAGCGTGGGCTGCATAATTTAACTCTATGTGTGCTAGTAATTATTGGGGGGGTGGGAGATGGATGGAGAGAGGAGTGGAAGAAGGGAACCAAAGTAAGTGGTGTTTTTTCTTTTCCAGGTCCTTGAGGCTACCAGGGTGAATCGCAGGAAGAGTGCCCTGGCACTGCGCTGGGAGGCTGGAATTTATGCCAACCAGGAAGAGAATGAATAATCCCCTTGCAGTAAAACGGGTGTTTGGGACTGAGAAACCAAAAAAAAAAAAAAAAACAATCATCATTTAATCCGATATTTATTAAAGATACAACAAGCTCACTGATCCACAGAGACAGGATTGCTCCATCTCCAGGCACCATTAGCGAAAGAGAAAAACCCACCCACAAAATCCACCCCCCCCCCCCAAAAAAAAAGAATGAGAGGATGTTAGGCGTGGACTGGTCAAGGAAGGGTGTCATCGCCGTTGGCAGCAGACCTATTGCAACAGGTCAGCATGGGAGGCTGAAGGAGTTGGCAAAAACTCAAGGCAGGGCAAATATATGTGCTTCCTTCTAACTGAATTTCCAGCCCTGCTTTGTATCAACGAGACAGTTTGGCCCAGAGTAACCTGTTGTGTCACCAGGCTTTCTTTGGACTTGCCTGTAGCTTCTCCATCATCCCACCTGCTGCACTAAGAACGTTAATGTTACTTTGGTTTACTCTAGATAGCCATAACATGCAATGATTTTTTGTTTTTGCTGTTATTTGGGGGGGGAGAGGGGTTGAAGATTTTTTTTCCCCCTTTCTCTTAATTTTTCATTTAAAAATTGGAGACTGTTACTGCAAATGTACAATCCATGTTTTGCAATCAGAATATTTAATAAAGTATCCTGTTCTGTTGCAAACACAATCTGTCAGTTTAGGAGAGAGCTGAGGGGGAATGCCAAGCCAAACGGATAACCTTAGCTTTAGGATCCTGTATACTTGCAATATGAACTGGTCTCCAGTTTCTCAGTGCATATTTACATAACTTTCTAAATATACAATCGGTATTTAGTGGGCAATGACTATTTTTATGATGGGTGTGGGCAGAGGCATATGTATAAAATGAATAAAGATTGAATAACCTGAGTCAGAAAGATAAGAGGGGAACACACTCAGAAAATGACATTTAATTTTTTCTGAGGCAATAATTTAATCAAGCCAGATGCTGGCACAAACAGAGGTATGAAACAAAGGGGGAAAAGTTACGTCTTTAACTATATTTATACAGTGTAAAAGGCCTTGGAGTTAACGTAGAGTATGCAGGTTTCCAGGAAATAAAAAGTTAAAGAAGGTAATCGAGAGTGTGTGTGAGAGAGAGGCAAGAAAAAGGATTATTTTTGCTGTTCAGTGTTTTCAGAGCTAAAAGCAAAATAGAGACCCTTTAGTTTGTGCCTAGGCTTGGAATCCGTGCTGAAGGGTGTTGTGTGTCTGGGTGTGAGCGCGCACGTGTGTGTGAGGTTGGAATCCTAGAATGAACAAGAGCTCTGGGTGTACAGATTTATTTTCTCCAAAGCTGTTTGCCAGCTACGGGGGTGAGTGAGAATTTCTTTTTTATGAAAAGGGATATAAAATGGCACTGAGCTGATGCAGTATTTGTAATATTAAAATTTGACCTGACACGGTATTTGCATGAATCACAATTGCGAAGTATTGAGCAGTTTTGTAATCTGACATTTAGAAAAGAAATGTGGTATTTATTCTTGTGCTTTGTATTCATATGTAGTATAGAGGCTGCCAGGTTTACTCTTTCTTTTCAGGCAAAGCAATACAATACGTATTTTACAACCGGGAACCATAATTTCTGGACTAGAAATTATCAAGTTTAGGAGACATATACATGTATGTATTGTTTTTATAAACCTAAAATTATTATTTTAACTTCTTTTTAAATCAGCCAAGAGGCTGACTCTCCCCTAAATCCCTCTTCTGTTTTCATACTGCTCTGTGACCTGACATGGTGTTTTATTCTGAGGCTCACCTAAAACGGCTTTAGATACTGTGAACATTATTCTGGTGCTTTTATTGGGCAGACATAGAGCTTGCAACCAAAACAATTTTGTTTTTAATTTCTTTCCAGCCTGTGGTTTGACACGTGTCTCACAGGTTCCTTTACACGGTCAAACATTTTGAAGACTGTGTTCAGGGATTGTAGTAAAAGTGGCAATAAGCATTAATTAAACCTGTTCTATGAATGGCCTATTAACAAAAGAAAACCCTTTTGAACTGGGCAATTGTCTTGTATTGATTTCTTTAAAGTGTGTCATACTTAAGAGTATACACATATACAAATAGACCAGCCGTTTGGAAATGCCAATCTAGTCGATTCTGACCCGATTCAATAAAGGTGTGTTAGTGTTACCAGTAGACTATAGGAAGTATAATTCCACACACTCAGTAGTCTGTTGCCCAGCTGATGGGCAGGTATTGTGTGTAGTAACACTCACTTACAGGAGTTGCACACCTGTATTGAGAGGGGGTTTGGATCCCTCTTGGTTTGAGGAGAACATAGCTGAATCTTGGAAAGCGCTTCTCTAGCAATATTACACAGTATCAAGCTGTATGTCATAAGTGGCTCATTCCTGAGAAATGGTCTTACATCAAGGCATGTACATTTGAACTTCTCACTGCAGTGTATGGATTCTGACAGCTTTTGCTCCCTTTGAAATGCATTTGCTTCTCCCTCTGCGTGGTTGCAGTTACCTAGGGCTGAGGGCATTGTCAGGAGTTCCTGGCTCTCTCTTACCTTTTAAGAAACATGCATCTGTTGTTTTCTTGAGGGATTATTTTTTGTAAGTAAAAAATAAATAACTAAATAAAACATTGGATGTCACTTCTTCAGCTTTATATTGCTTGTCACGGGGCATCTCCTGCTTTGTGTGCTCCTTCCCCCCAACTCCTGCTGTGAAAATAAAGTCAATCTCCTATAAAACCAGTGTGGTTTTGCCATCTTGGTATCCTTTGTACTGGGATGGAATCTAAGCAGCATTTTCACATATCCTGCAATAAAAAATGTTTGCATGTACCAGTCGAGTAGAGCTAACCTCTCTACCACCCAACCCTTTCTCTTCCAGAAATTATGGAAGCAAAACCATCATCTCAGCAGCACATGGTTCAGTGCTATGATAACTGAAATGCTATCCAGTTTACTTGCCTCTTCTTTATTTCAGTTGCATGCTACCAAGCGTATAAGTCTATAAATATAGGCAGGCATACATCTCTCTATATAAATAAATCAAATGCAACAAAGGAACACTACTGCCAAATTAATTTGGGCTCCACAAAAGAAATGATAAAAAAAAAAACTTTTCTGTGACAAAGACTGGTTTTAATGCAAGTGTGTAATGAAAAATAGTTAAACATTAGAATTGTAACTATCCAGTTTTTGGTTACAAATGCAGGTTTCCTGAGTTGTTGTTGTTTCAAAAAGCTGCTAGTTTTGCTCCTTATTCAGATTATGGGAAAGTAAAAACAATAACAGTGATTTGTTTTACAGCCAAAAGGTGACACTGTTGTCATGGTTTAGCAATCAATCTGACCAGCCCTGGTTTTCTGTATACATTAACCACTTAAATGTTGTTATCCTGCTTTTGTTTCATAGTGACTGTGAGGCATACAATGCAAGTATATCGTTATTTTCTCATTAAAACAGAAACCTGTGTTGAGTTTCTATAATAATGGCTGTTCCTTAAAAATGCATGCAGTGCTCTTTAATAGAATTGGCAGCTGCCAATCCCAAACTGGATTGGGTGGTAAAATTGGAGGTAGGTACCATGAGGAGGAGAAATATGCTCTCATCCCATCAACACAAACAGCTGCTAAAAGACATGTGTTGCATGAGGTCCTAAATAGTGTACCTGCTGTTCTTTTCCCACGGTTTTCAGCCTCAGTCTTGCTGGTTTTTTCATGTAGGTGAGCGGAAAGTCTGATCTATGGGGGGAGGGAGGTAGTACCCTATGACTGGAGAATAGCTAATGTCATACCTGTATTTAAGAAGGGGTGTGGGGAGAGTGATTTGGTCAGTTACAGACCTGTTAGTCTGACCTCAGGAATATGCAAGGTTTTAGAGTAAACTGTGAAGGAAAGAATGGTATTCATAGTGGTAAATAGTAAAGGGAATGTAATTCAACATGGGTTTACCAAAGGTAGCTCACGTCAGACTCATCTGATTTCTTTGAGAAAATAACTGATTTTTTAGCTGAGGCAACTGCAGTAGATCTCAGTAAAGCATGTGACACAGAGCCACGTGGGAAATTATTAATTACATTAGGGAAGATGGGGATCAGTACAAGCATTGTAATGGGGTTAAGGAATTGGCTAAAGGGAACAAGGCAATGGGGTTGTGCTGAAAGGTGAATTATCCGATTGGAGAGCGATTACTAGTGGTTCCTCAAGGTTTGGTCTTTGGACCCATCTTATTCAATATGTGAATGAATGTTCTTCCTACAAGACCAAATGGATATAAACTGGCCATGAACAAATTCATTTCATTCTGGCTAAAATATCAGTGGCTGAGCTTGCCCTCTAGAGCCTGACTATATCTACAGACACCAGGCCACCGAGTGGTTTTCTGCTAGAAGTAAATACCAAATACAGTACGGTAGAACCTCAGAGTTATGAACAGCTTGGGAATGGAGGTTGTTCGTAACTCTGAACGAAATATTATGGTGGGTCTTTCAAAAATTTACAACTGAACATTGACTTCATACAGCTTGGAAACAGAATAAAAATGCTGCTTTCCCTTTATTTTTTGCTGTACTGTATTTGCTTTTTCTTTTTTTTTTTTTTGGTCTCTGCTGCTGCCTGGCTGTGGACTTCTGGTTCCCAATGAGGTGTGTGACTGACTGCTCAGTTCGTAACTCTGGTGTTCGTAACAATGAGGTTCTACTGTACTGTGAGCCAGATTCTCAGCTGCTGGAAATCAGCGTAGCACGGTTGACTTCATTGGAGCTTTGCCATTTTATACCAGCGCAGGATCTGGCCCTCTGTACTGAGCGGGAATACCACATTCTCATATTATTTATGGGCCCAACTCCCATTGAAGTAAAGGGGAAGGCTCCTGTGACATCGATGAGAGTTGTATAGAGCCCTAGATGTGGCCTCTTGACTGTAGGTTCTTAGTAAGAAGAGCTGATGCAGACATCCTTTCAGTAGATTCAGGTATTTTCACTTGTATACACACTATCCAAAATTTCTGCAGAGAAAAGTCAATATTGGGTATGGATTTCCTGTCGCATGTTAATCAA